ATAAAACATTGAAAACTGATGTTTGAAATTATTTAAAAAAATTAAAAGGTACCTTAAATGTGAAATTAAAACCGCCAGTAGGGGTCAGCAAGTCCCTGTTAAGTGAGTCATTGCCACAGAACCGAATCATTTAAAAGGTTGATTCATTCAGGAACGAAACAGCGCAAAACAGCTGTTGCGGTGTTTGAAATTATTTTTGTTGGAGAAATAGAGCAAAAACAGGCAATATGGTGTCTAAAACGTAAGTCTTTTAATATTAACTACTTATTGAACTGTTGTATAAAATCAATATCACATTTGTAATCATGCATACTTTTGGAGAAAAAACGGCACTCTTCATGTGATATTAACTATATGAAATGATATAAAGATATACATTTTTACATTTTCTATCTTAAATTATGTGATAATTCTTAATGCATTTTAATAGACTGATTCATGCAGTGAAAGAACATGCGCACATGCGCACGTCTAACCTGCTAGACTTCATCATGTAATGTATGCGTGCACTCTGTAGGTGTGTTTTGTGTTTGCTTTTCGCGATATACTCTTAATATCAAATCGCACATTGTTAAAACAACAATTACAATATTATCGCAGACCATACATATCGCACACCCCTATGTTTAGATTTTTATAATGCATTGTCTTCTTATCGATCCACCAGTTCACATTTAAAGGTCCCCTGAAATGCTATTGACATCATTTTAACTGAAACAGGAAGACAGGGCGGGACATATCAAGCAGCCCCGCCCCTTTTTAAAATAGCCAATAGTGTTCGTTTATATCACAGCCTGGGGTAGAGCCGTTCAGAGCCGTTGCATTTGACGGGGTATGCCAGCCACAATCTCATCCATATTGCTATACAATATAGCATTCTGTGTAGAAGTGTGTGTGCGGTGCGGTGGTTAGTGTGACACAGTGCGAAACCAGACTTCTTTTTGTCCTCAATGGAAAGCATATTTACACTGTTTGAATCGTTCCCTGTCCCCACAACGTGCCATTCACTGTACAGAAAATTCAAATTCTGTGGACAAGTGACCGATTTCAGCCGCGGCTTCAGCGTCTATTTTATAGTGTAGGGGGCGGTAGATATATATATATAATTTTGCAATGCGTTTGTTGTAAATGACAAAAACGTGTTTTATGGTCTCATGTCATGACCATTCAGGGTTTCTGCAGGATTTTTAAGCTCAAATTTAAGACTTTTTAAGACCTGAACAAATAAATTAATACGATAATGAGCGGGTTAGGGCAATGTAGTACCATATTAAACTGTAAAATTAGTGTAAAAAGCATAATTTACAGTTCAGATACAAGTTTTCACAAAAACAAAGTTTTATAAAATAAGCTTTACATTTCAGCCTTTAAACCATTGTTAAGAAAATGGATGAGTCAAAAGTATTAATTATTATATTAACTTAAACAATTATTATATCAATTAAATAACCTATATTAGTGGTGTGCGATATTGACAAAAAAATTATATCTCGATAATATTCTGGGATTTTATCGATAACGATAATTAGACAATATTTTGCTGAGTGTGTTATTGTGCTGATATCTTAAGGACTACCGTGGACAGCTGACTCGAGAATTTTTTGATATTCTTCCTATTCTGTGTGGTCAGTTCACAGCAGTAATAGAAATGTATAATTTCCAACAAGTTTTATGGGCATTTTTACCTTTAAGCCATTTTTTCTAAAGGTGTGCACCATCTTTTGAGTCAAATTCTTGCATTTGAGTTGTTACCAAGCAAATTAAATCAGTATCAACAAAATAGATTTTTGCAATGCAGAGGAAACACAGAGGCTGCATTAGAAGTGACATTTAGATTTAGACATTTACACACTGTTTAATGCAGCTCTGAGGGACATTAAATACTTTAACCTGCAATTACAAATGCATAAATAATGTTTTGATATTTTAAACATAAAACATTGAAAACTGATGTTTGAAATTATTTAAAAAAATTAAAAGGTACCTTAAATGTGAAATTAAAACCGCCAGTAGGGGTCAGCAAGTCCCTGTTAAGTGAGTCATTGCCACAGAACCGAATCATTTAAAAGGTTGATTCATTCAGGAACGAAACAGCGCAAAACAGCTGTTGCGGTGTTTGAAATTATTTTTGTTGGAGAAATAGAGCAAAAACAGGCAATATGGTGTCTAAAACGTAAGTCTTTTAATATTAACTACTTATTGAACTGTTGTATAAAATCAATATCACATTTGTAATCATGCATACTTTTGGAGAAAAACGGCACTCTTCATGTGATATTAACTATATGAAATGATATAAAGATATACATTTTCTTGTCCCATATCTTAAATTATGTGATAATTCTTAATGCATTTTAATAGACTGATTCATGCAGTGAAAGAACATGCGCACGTGCACTAGTCTAACCTGCTAGACTTCATCATGTAATGTATGCGTGCACTCTGTAGGTGTGTTTTGTGTTTGCTTTTCGCGATATACTCTTAATATCAAATCGCACATTGTTAAAACAACAATTACAATATTATCGCAGACCATACATATCGCACACCCCTATGTTTAGATTTTTATAATGCATTGTCTTCTTATCGATCCACCAGTTCACATTTAAAGGTCCCCTGAAATGCTATTGACATCATTTTAACTGAAACAGGAAGACAGGGCGGGACATATCAAGCAGCCCCGCCCCTTTTTAAAATAGCCAATAGTGTTCGTTTATATCACAGCCTGGGGTAGAGCCGTTCAGAGCCGTTGCATTTGACGGGGTATGCCAGCCACAATCTCATCCATATTGCTATACAATATAGCATTCTGTGTAGAAGTGTGTGTGCGGTGGTTCGCGTGAAACCAGACTTATTTTTTTCCTCAATGGAAAGCATATTTACACTGTTTGAATCGTTCCCTGTCCCCTATACAGTGCACAACGTGCCATTCACTGTACAGAAAATTCAAATTCTGTGGACAAGTGACCGATTTCAGCCGCGGCTTCAGCGTCTATTTTATAGTGTAGGGGGCGGCTGCTTTGGATTCCAGAGAGCATTTGATTGGACAGAAAGTTTGATGAGAAGCTGAAGTACGATGTGACGTCAAAAAAAAAAAATCGTTGAGCCGTTTTGGCAGAAGTGACGAACTGCAAGCTTTGAATGCTTATATCTTCTAAATGCGAATTTTGTCACTGTTTTGGAGCACACTGCTTTATAGATAACCTTAAGACTAACATATTCATACTAACACCCAAAAAACTTTAATTTTGATTTCATGGGGACTTTAAAGCTCTCACGTTTGCAGGGTAAAAACAGATCGATTTTCGCATTGGTCTGAACTCTGAACAAAACAACAGTTTTATTGAAAATACTCATTCGTTCTCTGCCAGCAGGTGGAGCATTTGGTAGAAATATAACTGTTTCCCGGTAACAGCTGAACACAAAGCAGTGCAGCAACTGACTTTGAAGGTTCAGCGCTTGTGTTTATTCAATGAAATCATAACTTTAGACTTTTGATTGAAGTTTAATCGTCACATTCAGCCATATCGCAATTCTGGTCTTGACCTCTTGAAATCATAATTAAGACTTGCTTGTACAATTTAAGACTTTTTAAGGCCTTAAATTTGATACAACTAAATTTAAGACTTTTTAAGACCCCGCGGAAACCCTGCCATTTAAACACGTTTCAGACACATGTGAGGAGCATTTCTATTTGAATTGAATTTTCATTGTGCTATTTGACCGCAAAATGCCTTGTTCATTTTAGGCACGCCATTCCCCAAAAATTCAATATTAATCTAAATGGTTATAAATGCATATTACATTTATGGATAAACGTGTTTCGAGATCACTAAAAATAGAGCTTCACTCCCATATGCCAAGTTTTGAATGGAAGAGCATAGAATTGAGTAGAAAGTCTTTGAAACATTTCACGTTAATGTTTCACTTGCATTTAAAACTTCTACCATCCACTAATCTGAATACACTGTTCATACAAAAAAAAAAAACAGTTTTAAAATCACTGTAACATTTAATGTATCTTTAAAAAAAGTTCCTGTAGTGTAGTCAAGAACCGGATATGACGCGAGAGTGGCGGATGTTGCGTCGATCAATTTTCCCGCGTTTTGGATAGTAGAGGAAATAGTAGAGAATTGCGGACACAAACAAGCGATCTCGTGCTCCGACATCCAACCACAACAACAACATCATCAACACGAGCCCGCCGCTCGTGATCGCTCGCTGTGCTGTGAGTGAACGCGAGACAGTCGACATGCCGCCGAAGAAGCGCAGCAGCGGGACCCCGCAGAAGAAAGAGTTGAAGGGAAACATGAAGAGCGGATCTCCCGACAGCAGCGAGAACGCTGTGCTGAGCCCCGAACGGTGAGGTCGTACTGCGGGACTGTCTAAGTAAACCTCTATGACACAATAGACTCTAATGAATGATTAGTACAGACCGTCTTTAGTTCTTGATGATGTTGGGTGAGGAAGCCAGCGACCGACAGTATGTCAGTCTTCTTAAGAAAACTGTAAAAAAAAAATATATATATTTTTTGTAACTAGGTAACCGTTACAAATGACGATTTCTGAACATGTTTATGCTGCTATTTTTTTGTTAAATAGTTTTTAATATTTAGTTACTTTGGTAAGAACATGATAATTAGGACGCACCCAATATTTAACCACTATGGTATTATTACAGTAGCAGTTGTCAGCTTATATTTAGCCTTTTGGGATGCACAATTTCTGTTTTCGCTTTTAAAAGAAATGTCAAGTAAATATTGCGTACCATTTTTAATTCAGCAGTTATGTGTACATCTATATATCTAGAGGGTCAAAGAGGAGACGTCCTATTTATAGATATGTTTATGTAAAAATGAAACATACTTATTTTGACCTTTACTCATTAAAATATACAAAAGGGAAAGTGATCATATATGGCTCATGTAGTGCCTAAACAGCTGACAAGTGTTTGTGTATAACCAATGTTGCATGACCAGCAGCGCCAGTTTGGCGACCACCACAATAGTGTCAGTCACCTCACAATGCGTTTACTCATGTCTGTCAACTGTGTTGTTTTACTAGACACAAGGACAAGGAGCCTGAGTTTGTGTCTCTGAGTGAGGAGCTTCAGGCCACCAATCCCATCTGTGATCATGCATGGAGAATTTGGGAGAGGGAGATCAGGTCAATGGACAAGGCAAATGTACGCTTTCATCTCATATCTGCACTACCAATCTAGTGTAGCTGCATTTATGAATGTGTACTAACACAAACGTGTGTGTCCTCCATGCTAGATGCCATATTCAAACAGACATCAGTGGGGAGCTTGTCTGTTCATCGCAGGCATGGAGCTTGATGGCATCAGCCTCACCTTCACTCAGTTCCTGAAAGTAGTTGGACTAAGGTATGTGTGGCAAATGAATAAATATCATGGAGAAGTCCTGGTTTTCTTGCTTAGGATGAGCAGGTTGGGCTGTCAGAGTGTGGTTATGCTTTTAAAGTGTTAATAATGCATGTGCTACACTTTAATTAAGTTGCCCTTTCTGTGCAGTTTGAAGCAGTTCATCAGTCTCGTGAGGAAGATGGATGTAAACGTGGACACAATAAGCCCTAAAGTGAACACCGCTTTGAAACGACTGGAGAACAAGTACAATGTGACACTGGCTCTCTACCAAAGATTTGTGAAGTAAGTGTTGTTGATCAGTTTTTTTTCAAATTTGTACTAGTGATATATAATGAATGTATGATTAATTTTACAATGTTTGGACATTTTGTTGATTTAATCAGCAACCAGGATCTACTGACAACTATGTCAATAAATAAAAAAACTAATATTGTGAAATATTATTACAATTTAAAACAACTGTTTTCAATTTTAATATACTGTAAAGTGTAGTAGTCTTCAGTGGCACATGATCTTTCAGAAATTATTCTATGTATCATTCTATGTATCAAAAATCATTCCATTTATGTGTTCAGACATTTAAATGCAATAACTATGTTTCCATCGAAAGTTGCAAATTTAACTTGTGCACAAAATTTGAATATCGCATAAAACATTTGTGAATAAAGCACCGTTTCCATCCAACGAGTCAAAGAGAACAAAATCATAATTTCTGGGAGGCAAATATACAGAAATACTGTGATGACAGACTTTGGCTCAGGCATTACAGAATGCCCAAAACCACATTTGATTTGCTGTGCAACGAGATCAATCTGCTGTAGGGATGGGTATCATTAAGGTTTTAACGGTATTACCGTGCTACTCTTACCGATACTGCTTATCGATTCATACTTTAACGGTATTCTTATCGGTACTTTTTGTTTATTTATTTATTTATATATATATATATATACATATATGACAAATTAAGAGCTGAATTAACATTGCTTTATATTCTGAAATGTAAGATAAATATTTAATGAATGAATATAAAACATCAGTTTGTAAATGCACCAGTGTGCAGGCATTTTTTGTGTTTTATACTGTACATAAGATAAGATACAGTAAGAACATGAACAAAGAAACAATGTAAAACAAACTGACAAATACAATAAAACAAATATACAAATGAAATGAAATAAACAGTGCTTTCATTTTTCCATGAAGGTCTACTAACATTACTGTTCAGGCATGTAATTACAAGTAATTAAGTATTACAAGTAAATTAAGTAATTACAGTTTTCAGTGTATGTATTGATACGTTAATGCTTATTAAAGCTATGTAATTCAGATTAAGAGCTGTGAGTGATTTTGTCTTTGCATTTTGTTGTTTGATTAACTAATGGCCCAAGCGCCAGTCTGTCACTTTAAGACAATATATTGACACACATCGGATTTTCTCCCAACTGTTCTCGTCCACTTAAGACATAAAATGTGTTTAAGTAAATACTCTCCAAGCCGGCCATTT